CCAAGTGAAATATGCCAGTCAGAGAAAGACAAGTATGACATGATCTCACTCATATGTGGTATCTAATGACAAAATAAACTGATGAACAAAGTAGCTTCAGAGTCATAGAAGCATGGAACAGACTGATGAATCTCAGAGGAAATAGGGAGAAGGGGCAGGAAGAGATTAACCAAAGAATTTATGTGCATATATGCATAACCCATGGACACAGACAATAGTGCGGTGAAGGCCTGGGGGTGAGGGAGTGGGGGAGGGGCTCAATGGGGAAAAGGGGGGATACTTCTAATACTTTCAACTATAAAGATAAGTTTTAAAACAAAAGAAAACTAGAAATTGGACCAAGGTGTCTTTCTCAAGAGCCCACATTCTATTCTCTAAGCCATCTGCTTCTGAGACAGTGTAGTTCAGAGACCTATAGATATTTTATAGAGTATTTCAATTACATTGTCAACACAGCCTGTAATATTGGTGTTATCATCCTCACTTTTACATACAAAGAAAATGAGGAGAAACCAAGATGGCGGCATAGGTAAACACTGGAGATTGCTGCCTCGCACAACCACTTCAAAAATACAACTAAAAGACGGAATGGACATCACCCAGAACCACAGGAAGGCTGGCTGAGGGTAAATTCTACAAATAGAAGGAAAGAGTAAAGCATACCAAGACTCAGAAGAGGCGCAGTGTGGAAGTAAAATACAAAGGTGTGGAGGTGCATGCAGAACGGGCTGGCGGTTGAGGGCACGGTTGTTGTTTTCAATCGGGAGGGAGTCTCAGGCTCTGAGCTCCAGTTCTGGGCAAGTCTCTGGGGGCCCAGACTCAAACGGGAGAAGTGGGACTGTCTGGCATCGGTCGGAACTCGAGGGCAGCTTTCTCTCCGAGGTTTGCAGCAGTTGTTGGGACACTGAGAGGCAGAGCCTCTGGGGATGGGACTGAGAGCAGCCATAACTGCTCGCTCCATCCACTCGGTTGATCCCCTGGGACCTGCCCTGCCCAAGCCTTGCACAGAGGCATTTGCGGGATAGCCTCAGGCAAAGGCTAGATTAGCACCTCCCTAGAGGACAGAAGTTCTCCCACTGCAGACACAGCTGATTCTCACAGCCAGTTGGCCTGAAGGTCAAATCCCCCCAGTATTACCTACAACAATCAAGGCTTAACTACAAGACTGCGCACAAAGACCACAAGGGGGTGCACCAAGAAAGCATAAAAAATGCAGAGACAAAGAAACAGGACACAAATGACAGAAATGGAGGATATAGAGTTCAAAACCACACTTTTAAGGTCTCTCAAGAACTGTCTAGAAGCCGCCAATAAACTTAGTAAGGCCCTCGAAAAGACTGGTGAGACCGCCGATAAATATAGTGAGATCCTCAAGAAATCTAATGAGACACTCGATGTTGTGATAAAGAACCAACTAGAAATTAAGCATACACGGACTGAAATAAAGAATATTATACAGACTCCCAACAGCAGACCAGAGGAGCGCAAGAATCAAGTTAAAGATTTGAAATGCAAAGAAGCAAAAACACCCAACCGGAAAAGCAAAATGAAAAAAAGAATCCGAAAATACGAAGATAGTGTAAGGAGCCTCTGGGACAGCTTCAAGCGTACCAACATCCGAATTATAGGGGTGCCAGAAGAAGAGAGAGAGCAAGATATTGAAAACCTATTTGAAGAAATAATGACAGAAAACGTCCCCTACCTCGTCAAAGAAATAGACTTACAAGTCCAGGAAGCGCAGAGAACCCCAAACAAAAGGAATCCAAAGAGGACCACACCAAGACACATCATAATTAAAATGCCAAGAGCAAAAGACAAAGAGAGAATCTTAAAAGCAGCAAGAGAAAAACAATCAGTTACCTTCAAGGGAATACCCATACGACTGTCAGCTGATTTCTCAACAGAAACTTTGCAGGCCAGAAGGGAGTGGCAAGAAATATTCAAAGTGATGAATACCAAGAACCTACAACCAAGATTACTTTATCCAGCAAAGCTATCATTCAGAATTGAAGGTCAGATAAAGAGCTTCACAGATAAGGAAAAGCTAAAGGAGTTCATCACCACCAAACCAGTATTATATGAAATGCTGAAAGGTATCCTTTAAGAAGAGGAAGAAGAAGAAAAAGGTAAAGATACAAATTATGAACAACAAATATGCATCTATCAACAAGTGAATCTAAGAATCAAGTGAATAAATAATCTGATGAACAGCATGAACTGGTGATTATAATAGAATCAGGGACATAGAAAGGGAATGGACTGACTATTCATGGGGGGAAAGAGGTGTGGGGGATTTGGGAAGAGACTGGACAAAAATCGTGCACCTATGGATGAGGACAGTGGGTGGGGAGTGAGGGAGGAGGGTGGGGTGGGAACTGGGAGGAGGGGAGTTATGGGGCGGGGGGAAGAGGAACAAATGTAATAATCTGAACAATAAAGATTTAATTTAAAAAAAGAAAATGAGACAGAGAACTAACATGATTTGTTCAAATTCACAAAAGCTAGAAAGTCAAGGAGGCAAAATGTCAACAGAGTCTGTCCATTTTACCCATCCAGATAGCATAAATAGATTATATTTTAAAGAATTGGGTATAATCAAGAAAATAATAAACCCCCAAGGTAATATTAAATGATCTCATGAGAACTTTAATAAAATAGCCCTCAAGGCAAAAGATGGCTTTTTAATGGTTCTAAACATTGTCAGAAAACTTTTTTTTTCTTTCATTTTAATTTAAAAATGTATGCACACTCACACACTAGGTCTCTGGCCTTTTCTTACCCCAGTTTATTGTTTGTGTTCTCTCTCTTCCCTCCATCCCTCTCTCTGTCTCTTCTTTCTATGTCCCCCCACCGCCACCCCCTTTCCCTTTCTTCCTTTCTCCCCTGGTATAAAAAGGTCACAAAGTTTCCTGCTGCCCCCTAGTGGTTTCATCCTGGAAATGGCAGTCACGTTAGGAAACAAAATCTTTATAGACAATAATAAAATGACACTTTAAATCCTTCAGAGTTTTTGAAGACAGTGGGCCACAGGGGTGAGAGGCAAGGGCCCATTATCAGTGACAAGTTCTTTAACCTTGCAGGGCCTCAAAAATGCACCAGTGAATTGAAAGTTAAAACATTTCCTTTTCACAGCTGCCTGTGGGCTGAGATAACACAGTAAACAGTTGTGAAGCACAATACACTCTTAATAATAGGTAATTATTATTTACTTTTAACAACTCTATAAAGTTGAGTAAACTGAGGCTCAGCACAGCTTACTGATTTTTTTAACTTAACTCAGCCAGCAAAGTATAGAACTAGACCCATAATCCAAGTTTTTCTACTCTAATTCTAATTCTCTTCATACCTCAGTATCTCAAAGTGACAGTTGATAAGGAGAAATGTTAAGAATTTTTAAAGTCTTAAAGGGATATTTTCATACACTCTTGTGTTTTCCATTAAGTCCAAAAAATATACATTTCATTGGTCAGTGATCTATCTTTAGAATGTCTTAAAATTGCAAGAAGCACAAAAAGATTTGTGTCCAAAACATGTTCGCAAATCATTACTTATCATAGTACTAAGTTGAAATAAACTTTGGTAAAAAATAATAATTGTTTGTCTTTATTGAACAGATTTTTTTTAAGGGTTATAAATACATCAAAGCATTTAATGAGGTAGGTAGTATTATTATCTCCACTTAGCATATGAGGAACCTGAGGAACAGAGAGGTTAAGGGCCTTGCCCACTGTCAAACATTAAGGAGTAGTAGAGCCAGGAATTGAACTGAGATATTTCTCAAGAGTCCATGTTCTACCCACTAATCAATCTGCTTCTAAAACAGCATCATCCATGGACCCACCCCATATTCGATTGCATGGTAGCGCTTATGGTGGAATATTGTGCAACCATAAAAATTAGGTTTTCAGTAAGTATCAAATTATATGTATATACATTAAAATACTAAGGGAAAAAACAGTATGCAAAATTGCATACCATATTATATCAGTCGTAGAATGTGTGTGTGTGTGTGTGTGTGTGTGTGTGTGTGTGTGTGTGTGTATAAAACCAAATCTAAATAATATCTTTCTCCAGGCTATGGGTTATGACTAATTCTGTTTTCTAGATAGCCTGAACTTGTGTAATGGGGCAGAACTACTGTGATCATCAAAACATTTAGATTAAAAAATATTTTAGGGTAGCCCTGCCAGGGTAGTTCAGTTGGTTAGAGGGTCCCAGTACGCCGAGGTTGCAGGTTCAATCCTGGTCAGGGCGCATACAAGAATCAACCCATGAATGCATAAATAAGTGGAACAACAAATCAATGTTTTTCTCTCTCTCTCCCTCTCTCTCTCTAAAATCAATAAATAAATTAATTAAAGGTACTTTAAGAAATACCAGAATTTCCAAGAACAGGATTCAGTTTCCCTTTGCAGTAAAATAATGAATCAGGGAGTGTGAATGGAAAAGATTTGCACGAAAAACAAAGATTGGGAATAGAGGAAGAATTTCAAACTGAAAGGGAAATGCGTAAAAGAGACTGTTTATTGGACTACACTGCTGGGTTAACTTAGCACTGGAGCCTGCTTTTGACTGGTGTCAGCTGTTCAGAGGCTGTCTTCTGACAGTCGTCAGGATTCACTACAGACTGAAGTAGTATGGATGGGGGGTCTGAAGACCTATGACCCCAACAAGTATAATTTCTGATTTGGAGAGGCGCCGTGGAAAAACAGCAAAGACAACCCTCTTTGGGACAGTAACCCTAAAAGGTTCGCTGCTTTCTGACAGGCCCCTCTGGGCAGGGCCTATCAGCAGCACCAGATGGGGCCCATCTTGAGGTGGCATCTTTCCAACCACCTGCACGAGCCAATCATATCACTCCCAGTGAATGCCCGCGGCTCAGGATCATAACACTTGGCCCCAAACACTGTGTGTGCCTTCTGCCTCACTAGCAAGTTGAGGTTGAGCTGCAGAGCCTGACCTTCAACATTCCTTTCGAATTCCTCTGCATACAGGTCAGACAAGGGTTGGTTTTGGGGTTGCTGTTGTGGGGTTTTTTTTTTTCCCATCGGAAACTCCCAATTACTTTAGAACTCCTTGTTTAGTCAGATATTTCAGTTTTGCAACACAAAGTTGGAGCTGATCTCTTCCCTCATAAAAACTGCTAGTTGGTAGTGGTCAACAGAAGTCTTGACATAAACATTAGCAAGGAAGGTTCTTGCTGAGACTCGCATAGAAAAGCCCAAAGGAAAAATCGGGAGAACTCGTTTCAGCATGAAGCTACAAGATGGAAGAAGTACATTTAACTCAAACAAATGCTGTCCCAACAGATGCAGGAAGATTTTATTCCCAATAAGTACAGTTCCTGCAACAGGAATCTGGCTCCTCCGAGCACAGCTTCCTCTCCTGCTGCTGATTGCTGGCCTGCAGAGACCCACGGTGAGTTCCCAGGTCGGGCACAGTTGAGGAGGTGGTCTCTGTCTGATTAATGCTCCAATAGAGCGGTCTCCTGGTGACCTCTCAATGACCTTTCGGCACTGTGGGATCTGGTTTCATTCAGACACAGTAAGTTTTGCTGGCGAAGAGTGTGGAAAACAAATTATTTGAAATTGTGAAATTCTTTAGTTTATAAACCTGACATGGATGCTAGAGGTATGGCATTATTTTCTGGGTTGTCCACAAAACTTAAGTAAAACTGCTTCTGTAGGACAAATGATGCAAAATTAACCAAGTCTATGTGGCTTTTGACTGCATCCTATGGATCAACTCAAAAGAAGTATTATGATTTAAAGTTCCACCTAAGGAAAAACAACCTAATATTAAAAAATAACAGACTACATATTTGACATCTAGTAATATAATAAAGTTTTAGAGTTTACCATAACAAGGATTTGGCAAAATGTGATATTATTGATTTGTTATTGTTGTTTTGGCTTACATAGATTCTCTAGATTTACTTGTAAAGTTGCTATACAGAGTTATTGGTTGAAATTATTTAAGCCGTCTTAAAAATTTTTTCTAATTTATAACAACTAGATGATTTAACATAAATAACAGTAAAAATACCAAATGGTATGTTATTTTTAGTTTCAGCCACAAATCTTTGATATTGACTGGATGGAATTATATCTCTTAATATGTTCCTTAATGAGTACAGTTCATTAGAAAAGCATCACTCCTTTGTCAAGCAGGAAAGATCTTGGGATTTAGATCATTGAAATATGGCTCTACGTGATGGGCTAATGGCACTTAGTGAAGTTGTATTCAAACTGTAATCTTAGTTTAACATGCACTATGTATCAATAAGTAATATTCAATTGGTTCCCCATTAGAAAATGTGTTTTTCCCACTCCTGATTTCCAATAGGAGTAACTTTCCTAGGCACACTCCCGACCACTGTTCACTCTTTACTCACTACACTACTGGAGGTGGGAAAATTTACTTGATTGGTAATATAAGAAAGGAAAATTGGGTATGCTGAGTTTGACTGCTTTTCTTCCTCCGGGGAGCTAGCCTGATGGCAAAGGCCAAGAGCTCTGTGTTTCTCCGTGAAAGGAATCATACCCGGGTAGGCTGCAATCCTGCACTACCTACAGCTGAGTGGGCAAGTCTGCCTCACACTGGGGTTTATTTCTAACAAGTCCACTTGCCATCAGATCTACAGATGTGAGCCCCAACATGACATGATTCATAAATGAAAATGATATTTTAGCCTTTCAGATTTGCTCTCTTTTTTTCTCAATTTTTTTCAGAGCCTGAATAGGGGAGAGGGCTGTTATTACTGGGAATCCCCTGGAGGACCCAACTTTATTCATCACTTAAGTCTTTTATTAAATACACTTCAAAGGCTTAATATAGCTTTTAGGTATTTATAAAAAGAGATAGTTCTTAAAACACCCACGAAGAAATGTGAAGGGAGTCAGTAGATGAAATAGAAAGTAAAACTAAACTTTAAGGTTATTAATTGTTTTCTTCAACATACCCAATGTGCAAAAATAAAAAATACCATGATTTTGGTGAAACAAAGAAGATCACTTCCTCCGTGGGGAGATGCGCATTTTTGAGCTCTCAGTGATATGTATCAAAACAAATTCAATCTCTAACACAGGGTCACTGACACAGGAAGGACTGGAGCAGTGTAATGATTATAAGTGAAACTTCAGCAAATACTGAATTTGAGAAGACGGTCTTATAGAGTATAGAAAATCTGCTATCAGATTCATCATCTGATTGGAAAAATTATAATCAAGATTTTTCTTTTCTTATAGGCTGCAATTAAAATCAACTTTGACTTGGCACCAGATTCCTTTGACGATCAATACCAAGGCTGCAGCCAACAGGTCATGAAGGAGCTAAGTCAAGGGGATTATGTCGCAAAAGAAGTAGAAGCCCAGACAAATTATTACAAGATCTGGAATAATGCCCATTTAACCTGGCTGAACCAACCTAAAGCTCTCCCTAAGAACATGACGATCACACATGCTGTGGCCATCTTGGTTTACACATTGAACAACCATGTTCGCTCTGAATTCACTAGAGCCATGGCCAGTGCTGCCAGGTCTCCATGGCAGTATAAACATTCATTCCATTTCAAATACCTACATTACTACCTGACCTCAGCAATCCAGCTGCTGAGGAAAGGGATTGCCTTGAAGAATGACTCTCTGTGCTACCAGGTGCATCATGAGGCCGATTTCTACTTGAAAGCCTACATAGGTGCCACCCTTCGATTTGGCCAATTCCTGCCCACCTCCCTCCTAAGAAAAGAGGCACAGGAGTCTGGGAACCAAACTCTATTTACCATACTTACCTGCCTGGGTGCACCTGTACAAGACTTCTCTCTCAGGGAGGAGGTTCTGGTCCCTCCCTATGAGTTGTTTGAAGTTGTAAATATGAGCTACCACCCAAGAGGAAATTGGTTGCAATTGAGGTCAACTGGAAATCTGAGCACATATAACTGTCAGCTGCTAAAAGGTATTATTATTGATCTAAATTGAATTCACCCTTATCAGGATCACAGGCTATGATTCTTTTAAAGGCCAAGAACAGAGAAATCGGCCTTCTATAATGGCGGAACTGACAGATTAGAGGGGGGGCAGGGGGGGATATGTCTGATTTATTGGTTTCTCCCCTCTTCTTTCTCCTTAACTACCGCTAGGAAAATATATTTCTGCAATGGCACTAAGATAGGGGGGCATTCTAGATGGGAGAGTAAACCTCTACTGGAAAAGATAGTTCATAAAATATAGCATCTTTTCCTTCTCCCTCAAACTCACTTTCTTGTTATGATCTTTTCATAAATAAGGAGTGCTACAAGTAAAGCAGGAGGTATGACTCATTCATCCACTCTTATCTATTGTCTGCTATGTTCCAGGAACTGGCCTAGTGGGCCCCAGGCAATATAAAAGGAATAAAGCAGAACTACTCTGCTAGGAAGATTTTAAGTTCAATGAGAAATGAAAATATGAACAAATATCTACACACAAAAGTACAAAGTTACATACCCAATGTTCAAGCAATGGCTGTAGCTGCTCACTGTAGGAAGCTATCATTCTCTCTGGAGAACGTTGAGGAAGACTTCATAGTAGAGGACCACGGGGAATGGGGATTTTCAGTGAGAGAAGGAAGAGTCATTTCAAACACAAAACAGTACATACTAAATCACAGAGATTTAAAACAGCCTAGTGACTTCAGAGAATCTCCAAAATTCTGGACGGCTGCAATGTAGGATGTGCAGGACATAGAAAAGGATTGGGAATAGAAAGAGTAGGAGAGTGAGTGGATCGGGAGAGTTCTGAGGGGGACCAACTATAAAACTCGTGTATTCCATGCCCAGGACTTTTGAACTACATGCTGTCCGTAGGTAATTAGAAGTCACTAGAAGTTTTTACAGAATGGAGGGAGCATCATTTAGATCAATACTTTAGCAAGAGCTCTGATGATATTGGGGAAAATGAAGTGAAGCAGGAGAAATTAGAGGTACCACAATACCAAAAAAAATATTAAGCTCTTTTTTAGAAAAACACATGGCTGATTTCATTTTATCTTTGTGTGTTGCCAGCCATAGTCAATTCACAGAGTAATAGTTCTGTAGCAAACGCTGTGTCCTATTTGATTTAGGGGGAAGGGGAATGTTCTTATCCATATGTGCAGTTGTTTACTCTCTTTTTTAAAAAATGGCTTTATTGTTGAAAGTATTACAAATGTCCCCCTTATCTCCCCAAGAACCCGCCTTCAACCCACCCTCACCCCATCCCCAGACCTTCACCACACTATTGTCTGTGTCCATGGGTTATGCATATATGCATGTAAGTTCTTTGGTGAATCTCTCCCACCCCCTACCCCCCGACCCCTGCACCCCCGCCTTCCCTCAGAGATTTGTCAGTCTGTTCCATGCTTCCATGTCTCTGGATCTATTTCATTCATCAATTTACTTCGTTCATTATATTTTACATATGAATGACATCCTGTGATACTTGTCTTTCTCGCTTATTTCGCTTAGCATAATATTCTCCAAGTCCTTTCATGCTGTCTCAAAGGGTAAGAGTTCCTTCTTTTTACAGCTGCATAGTATTCCATAATGTAAATGTACCACAACTGTTTTATCCACTCATCTACTGATGAGCACTTAGACTGTTTCCAGATCTTAACTACTATATATTGTACTGCTATGAACATAGGGTGCATATATTCTTTCTGATGGGTGTTCCTGGATTCTTAGGATATATTCCCAGAAGTAGGATTGCTGGGTCAAAAGGCAGTTCCATTTTTAATTTTTTGAGGAACTTCAATACTGTTTTTCACAGTGGCTGCATGTCGAGTAAGTTTCCTTCCACGTCCTGCGTGGAGTAGGGTTCGGTACCTGAAAGAGGAACCGCACAACAAATGAGAGAAAAAGACACGAGATAATTTGGAAATGTTTGGGGAGCCAGGTGGGCAAGTCCAACTCAAGGAGAGAGACTTCCCCCGATGCTCAGGCCGCTCCAACCTTTTATTTGGTCTGGGGTAGCCCTAGGGTAAGGAGGCTTGTCTGGCATAGCCCTAGGGTAAGGAGGTTTCAATGACACACAGACTAGGTCGTAGGGAGGTTGCTTCAGCTATTTACATGATTAAAGGTAGGGAGGTTTCTTCAGCTACCATTATCTAGATTAACTGGGTGGTACACAGCCCTGACCTTTGCTAGGGCTTCAAGGTTACTAACTTTTGGGGGGTCTCTGTCTATACTCAGCTAGTGAAGACAATAAATGGTTTCCTGCATCTCCCCCTTATTTTTTCTTTAAAAAATCAAGTATCTGTAGACTAGAAATATAAGAACAAGTCCCAATTTCAAAGTCCAACAGTTCTGAGTCCAAATTTCAATTTCCAACAGTTCATGTGTACATGCCAGCAATGATATGCTGGTTCTGGATGGTGGACAAATGGTGGTAATGCAGGTCCGGTCCTCTCTGGTTTGGTCCTGGGTACCCTGCAGCGACGCACAGCTGCTGACTGCTAGCATGGCAAGGCGTCTTCACCATCTCCATCTCTGAACTGTCTCTCCTGTCTTTGTGGCTGGTGCAATTTGGTCAATTTCTCTCTGGGATCTGTTGTTGCAGGAATCCACATGGTCTTGAAGCTGTTCTCTGAAAGTATACAAACATATTCTCGACCAAAGGTTAATAAAGGAAACCTTACTTGGGGTTTTTTTCTTTAAAATGATCTTTCCCTGGCTTACCCTGGCATCATGTGTGTTTTTCCTGGGTGTCTCACTATTAGCATTATAAACAAAAAAATTTTATCTAAATGTAATTTAGTTACAGGATCTATTTCCTTACATGGCATTTTTCCACCATATTTTTCCACTACCCCCCCCCCTTTTTTTATTTAATTAGGAGACTTTTTGGAGAATTTATAATGCAGTCTAGATAACTTTTTTGCACAAAAATATGACTGCTTTAGGTTCATAGCATGTTAAGCAATTTTACCATGAAATGAAAAATTTTGGTTAATACTTTTTGAACAATTATTTCAAATTAGCCAAATTTAATTTATGGAAAACTTGACTTAAATAATTTGAAAACTATTTTGCTGTCAAATTTAATATTTTAACAATAATCTTAATTTACACTGTAAATGTTAATGAAAAGGACCACTTTACATCCTTGTGAAGGCTCTGAGCATTCCTGTTGTTAGGCTAGGTTTAGACATAGGGTCTGTTAGCCAAGCCTCCGTTTACCTGGATTCTGATTTCAGCTGGACCAAATCTCTTTTGTTATTTGGTTCCTGATCTGGACTGGGCATGGGAAGCAAGCAGCAGCCATGGGGACAGGAGACCTTCCTCAGAAGGGGCAAGTGTTCCAAGCCCCTGCACAATTGGTTTCTTCCTTTGTTAAGTTGCATGAATTCTTTATATATTTTGGAAATTAAACCCTTAACAGATGTATCATTGGCAAATATGTTCTCCCATACAGTGGGCTCTCTTTGCATTTTGTTGATTTTTTTTTTTGCATGTACATGTCCATGTTATACCAACACCATTTATTGAAGAGACTGTCTTGACTCCATTGTATGTTCTTGCCTCCTTTGTCAAATATTAATTGAGCATAATGGCTTGGGTCAATTTCTAGGGTCTCTGTTCTGTTCCATTGATTTATGTGTCTGTTCTTGTGCCAGTACCATGCAGTTTTGATTACAGTGGCTTTGTAGTATAACTTGATATCTGGTATTGTGATTTCTTCAACTTTGTTCCCCTTTCTCAAGATTGTCATGAATATTCAAGGTCTTTTTTTGTTCCATATAAATTTTTGGAGTATTTGTTCTAGATCTGTGAAATATGCTGTTGGTATTTTAATGGAGATTGCATTGAATCTATAGATTACCTTGGGTAGTGTGAACATATTAATGATGCTAATTCCACCATCCATGAACATGGTATATTCTTCCACTTGTTTATATCTCTCACCGAAAACCCCCATTCCTACTTCAAGTTCCCTATAGTCCTCTACTAGGAAGTCTTCCTCTCTTTCTCCAGAGTGAATGAATAGCTTTCTGCAGTGAGCAGCTACAACCATTATTTAAACACCGGGTATGTTACTTTGTACGTTTGTGTACAGAGAAGGCTGCTCCATCCTCGGTTCCACCTCACCTAAGCCTCATCTGCCATTGTGCTATAGTTGAAGACAAAAAAACTGTATACACTTGGAATGGACACAACAAATATCCACCTAGCTCTACTAAAAAAGGGGGTGGGGGAGGGTTTGATTAGCCTCGGAATACTTTCAGCTATTAATTGCAGTGTGTTTTTCTCAATGAGTAAGCTATATCTGAGAATTTTCTTAAAGTCATTTCTGTCAATTGATAAATAATACTCTATTTACCCCAACATCCTAGAGAAGTATTGGATTGATCCATACATGAATAATGGGAGGAGGGAAGTGATGTGTTTTCTGGTCTGGGAGTCTTTCACTGGGATGGACTGAGATCAATGTGCTGTAGGAGAAGAAAAATAATTTTCCCTCTACCCTTCTAGGTTCTTGGCTGAGACCCACCCCCTCCCACCATAATGAAAAGACAGATTAACAAGAAAAATGATAATTTTATACATACAGGAGCTCCATAAAAATATAAGACTCCAAGGTAGTTAGGCAATTGAAGTTTATAATGTTCTTGAGCTAAGGAAAAGAATGGGGGTCTGAGCTTCAAAAAGGAGGAAGACAATTCATAGGAAGATGAGAATAGTAAATATTTGGTAAGCCAGTGTTTTCCCTGCCATTCAGATAAATCTGATATAAAAGGTTATCTCTGGTAGTAGCTCTCTTCCTCTGCAGGACCCTCTAAATTCTTTTAGGCAGTTAAGGGGGAGGTAAAAAGCTTTTCCTGAATCTGCTGGCCTTGATTGCCTTCAGCTCAAAATAATCATTATGCCAAAGAGGCTTATTTTGGGGTGACATGTTTTGCTTCCTGATTTTCTAGGTAATTCCTATTGCCCACTTAAGTTTTCCCAGTCACCTGGACTGTGTGATTCACCTCAGCTTAGAGAACTCACCAATGGTGTTCTGGAGTACTTACATCCAATTCCTCATGAAACTGGAATCATCTCAGGAGACTGTTTCTTGTCCTTTTCTTTCTTTTTTTTTTTTTTTACTAGCGAGCCATAAGCTATTCAATGTCCCAAAAAGTCCCTATGAGCCAGTTACTTATGCTTCCTCTCCAGTTCCCTCTTAACTTGGAAGATATTTGAAAGCCAACATAAACACATTTAAAACTAACCAGCCAGCTAGCCGAAACCGGTTTGGCTCAGTGGATAGAGCATCGGCCTGCGGACTGAAAGGTCCCAGGTTCGATTCCGGTCAAGGGCATGTACCTGGGTTGCGGGCATATCCCCAGTAGGAGATGTGCAGGAGGCAGCTGATCGATGTTTCTCTCTCATCGATGTTTCTAACTCTCTATCTCTCTCCCTTCCTCTCTGTAAAAAATCAATAAAAAATATATTTAAAAAAATAAATAAATAAATAAATAAAACTAACCAGCCAGGACACTGTAATTCTCCCAATAAAGAGACAATAGATTAAGCAGTATTCCAGCCCTTCAATGTATTTCAAAATTGGTTCTGTTAACTTGCAACTGCAGTTCTCAAGTTCAAAGAGTTCCCATGAATCTGTTGCTTTCAGAGAGTTGAGGGGTCAAATTAGTAGCATAATATAATTAGGGAGTGAATTTGCAAAAGAAAAATTGTTTAAGACATTCTAAACTAATAGCTTTCCCTTCTAATTCTTCTCTCCTCACATGGCCTATACTGGTTCCTATAGAAACAGATGTTTTCAGGCCCATGGAAAGACTCAAAGTATTTGGCAAGCTAGTGTATGTTAACTATTTGCCCTTAAATGTTGCTTCTTCAGCAAAATAATCTGTGCCAAAAATCTGTAGGCACACAAATACATACTCTGTTCTGTATCACTGAATTCACAAAGGAGAGGGATTTATTTGTTAAAATGTTTAACATAATCAAAATTCTTAAGCATGTTTCTAGAAAAAAATATAGTCAATTGTAGTTGCTAGCAGTGAAAACATGGGCAAATGGCTTAGTCTGTGCCTGTTTCTTACAGGTAAAATAGAAATGATTTTTTAAATAAAACCCACCTTATTTGATTCTGAGGAGTAAGTACACTCAGAATAGTATCTAAGTACTCAAAATGTTTTCATTACTATTACCATTATCATTATTATTATTTATTTTATTTTATTAACTTCCTGTTTCCTGCTTTCTTTTACTCTGGGTTTTAATTTTCTCAAATTAGTTTTACCTATTTTGGCATCACATTCACCTTGAAGTAGAATGTCTATCTCAGACAATTGGATGAAAGAATGAGCATGTAATTGAATGAATCTAAGAGAGCACATGGCGTGGAAAAAAATAGACTTCTGGCCCTAAATGGTTTGGCTCAGTGGATAGAGCGTTGGCCTATGGACTGAAGGGTCTCAAGTTCAATTTTGGCCAAGGGTACATGCCCAGGTTGTGGGCTCAGTCCCCAGTAGGGAGCATGCAAGAGGCAGCCAATCAATGATTCTCATCATTGTTGTTTGGATCTCTCTCCCTCTCTCTTCCTCTCTGAAATCAATAAAAATATTTTTTTAAAAAAATAAAATAGACTTCTGAGCCAGTAAAACTGGGCATATGTTAGTAGATATGTAAATGACAAAGTCTGAGCCTGTCCCTTCATTTATAAAATGGAGGCATTGCTTGCCTAGAGGAAATGTTGATAGCAACAAACACAACTGAAAAACTCCAGGAAAGTATTGTGGATATGGAAGTGGGATAGTAGTTCAATGGAGCAAGTGTGTGCTTCAGTAATATTTACAGTAAGAATAGAAACAAAGGGTTATTGGTGGGGCTCCCCATTTGTCCCCATCTGTTACCAGTGGAAGTAGAGTTCTTGCGATGTCACAAGAAAAGGTATTTCCTGAGACTGGCATGGGAGGATGAATGGATCTTTATTTCCACAAAATTAAACCCCTGGGTTTCCAATATCCCTCTACCCCACCTTGGAAAAAGTTCAGTCTTGTCTTCAGCAGGTTGAGAATTAAGGGCACTGCCCAGAGTCTCCTCTCCATATTAAAACACAGTTCGGTCTAGCAACTGGCTAGCTTAGCTTGTGTTCCCAGCTGCAGTCCACCACATTTGGGGTCTTCACATTTCTGTGTCACAGTTGTACTCAACAAAATATGGATATGCAAATAACTACCTCAAAGAATTGTTGTGAGGATTGAGTTTATTTATAGCAAGTGCTTAAAACAGATTCTAACACAGAATAAATTACTTAATCAATGTTAGCTTTCATAATGGTGATGAAGATGATAATTAAGATGGGGGTGATGGGGATGCTGATAATAATAATAAAGATAGAAAACCAGGAGATCTCTACCACCAACCAGCTTGGTAACTTGAAATAAATGTCTTAATAAATGGTGCCTCTTTCATCATCTGCGAAATATGTAAGCTGAGTTCTGTTAATTATAAATATCTGAGAATACATTTCTCAAAGTAGCTAACTTTGAATACTTTTATTATAAATTTTCTAAGTTAAAAAATTGAATCAAAGAAGAAATTAGGTAATTTTTTTCAATCTCTGCTACCTAAAATATCTCTCTTTTGTTTGTTTTTACAGCTTCCAGCAAAAAGTGCATCCCTGCTCCTGTAGTTATTGCTGCTCTCTCCTTTTTGACCATTGTCACCATCTCTTTAAAAAGTGGAGTATAGCCCTAACCAGCTTGGCTCAGTGGATAGAGCGTCAGCCTGCAGACTCAAGGGTCCCAGGTTCGATTCCGGTCAAGGGCATGTACCTTGGTTGCAGGCACATACCTAGGAGGGAGTGTGCAGGAGGCAGCTGATCGATGTTTCTCTCACATTGATGTTTCTAACTCTCTACTTCTCTCCCTTCCTCTCTGTAAAAATCAATAAAATATATTTTTTAAAAAGTGGAGTATAAAGGAACTTTGTCATTTTGCTTTTCTTGTCAAGGTACCCTGTATATCCTTGCAGAATAACTCTGTGTCCCCCACCCCCATCAGCTAATGCAGAGCTGACTCAGACCACTGCCTTTGAGTGGGCCTGTAACTCAGTATGTTTCTTCTCCATGGACACAGAGATCGTGCTGGAGTAGAAAATGACACAATCAGAGTTTATGAGATAAATTTGGGACACTTCTTTGGCTTTGGGAATTGGATGGGCCTTTTTTTTTTTTTTTTTTTTTTGAGTGGAGATTAATACCTCCCTGAGAATGGAGCTAACACAGTAAAGGAAGAGCTAAGAAATGAAAAAAACTGAGTCCGGATGAGAGTGAACAAGACCCGAGATCCAACTGTTCCTGAAATTGCATACTGTAGGCTTTTCATTATATAAATCAATAAACTATATTTTTGCTTAAATAATTTGAATTAAACTTTTTATTTCAAGCAATTGGAGGAGTTATGATGAATATAAGGATACTCCCTTATTTTTATTCCGTAGTCCCATTCATTTCCACGTGGATCCCCCCAGCTGTTGAAACATTCTGAGACACAAACTACAACCAAGAGGAGGGAATGAAACCCAGGACACAGACAGGTTCCAAAAAAGCAGCAAAGTGAGAGCAGCACCTCCCTACTCCCATTTATATATATGTATTTTTGAGGGGAGAATAGCAAATGAATCAGCTCAAGATTTTCCTCAATATAAGACACCAATTAACGGATATCTATTGCAAATGAACGAGGTTTCAGCTTTGGAGCTGAGACAAAATGCAGAATTCATGTATTAAAATGCATGCTTTTTCCAAGCCCTCTAAACCCTGGAAAGAGTCAAAATCCCCTTTACCCTCACCACTGGATATTGTGATGGTCTTATTGTTAGGGAGCAAGGAAAGAATGCCTTAGTTAAGATTACAGTGGTAATTACAATGACAGCCTTGGCTTTGGAGCTGACAAAAGTGCAACTTTCTTGGCTGGGCTAACAAAAGTGCAACTTTCAAGCAGCCATAAGTAAGGAGGTTATCTTGGTGGAGTGACTGCATAGAAGACTAAAAAGTACATAGAATACCTTCTTCTTCCCTCTTCATCAAAAGCTCGCAAGTAATTTCTTTCCCTTTCAGTTTCTCATGTTTCAGCCTCTTTTTTAAAATATATTTTTATTGATTTCAGAGAGGAGAGGAAGAAAGAGATAGAAACAACAATGATGAGGGAGAATCACTGATTGGCTGCCTCCTGGATGCCCCACACTGGGGATCAAGCTCGCAACCTGGGCATTTGCCCTGACCAGGAATCCAACCCTGACCTCCAGGTTCATAGGTTGATACTCAACCACTGAGCCACACCAGCCAGGCTTTTTTTTTTTTTTTTAACAGAGTACAGAGACATTTTCTTTATAAAGGAGAAAATAAGGTTTACATTTTAAATGAGGAAATGTTTAAGTAAAGAAAATAACTTAAGCATTTTCCCTCAAAAAGAAAATTCCAACAAATAACTAGAGTTAATAATTGCTTTTCTTATTCTCAACAAAGTTCCTGTTAGTTGTCAAGTGAAATAGGGCAATCTTGAGAGCATAAATTCATTTATAACGCATGAGAGCCGAAGACTTTATGGTAGATAAATGGACTTATCTAACTTTTCTTCCCCGCTACAAGCACATCTCAGTCTCATGGTAATTTCATTGTGGAAGATTAGATCACCTCCAATTTTCAGCCTCTAATATAGGCTAATCATAAGATCTCAGTAGGTGACCAATGAAAACAAATCATATACTCTAATGTTATTCATGTAATAAAATTCTATTACTTCTCATAAAAAATATTGATTAGTCCCTGAGGTATATAGAAATTGGTATATGAGTGACAAAAATGCAGAGGGTTACTTTATATGCTTCCTAATTCTGAACATCGTTTCTGCCAGATTATCTATTGATAATGTTTATATTTACCTGGACTTTGCACTGTAGTAACTAGGAATAGAATTACTAAGAGTGAAAATTATTTTAAGGTTATTTAGATCATTCTTTAAGATGATGTAAAATGTTTAGAAACATCCTCAACTGTAATATTACATGGATTTTTTTTAACAATAAATTGTTTTTAGTAATACCATTTCAAGTGGGCTTTTTTTATTATTTTTATTTGACTAAAGCAAACTTGAAGTAAATTGTTTGCCAAGTGACTACTCTTTGCACCAATGTCCCAATAGACCACATGTCTGGCATCAAAGATCTAAAAATGTGCTATGAAAACTCACAGGATTTTGAACTCATTTTCTGCCAGAAATTAGCACTTCTGTTGCACTTCTACTAGTCATTGACTTTCTTAACCCCATAAGCACTAACTTCCATCGTCTGTATGGCCTTTTGGAGGATCTCTAAGGTTGGTCTCATATTTTTAACAATTTGCTCCAACTGTTCTGCGGCTGACTCAATGGTATTCTTAGCATTCGCAATTCTTAGTACATTCTGCAACTTTTTCACAGTGTCTACTGTAGTGGTTGTGGATGGACCTGCCCTTGGGCTTTGCTCAGATGTGGTAGCATCTGATTGCCCTTTCGTGTCTTGTCTATAGAAGTCACTTAATTGAAGACTCATGAGGGGATGCATCAGCAAGAGTGAAAGAGCAGATTCCAAATTCGAAACGGTGTTACCACTACTTATCAGAGAGACAATGAATGGTATATTGCCTTGTGCTACCTTTTGTCTATATGACGACTGCAACTCTTTTGCTTTATCCGTACTCTTCTCAGGGCCCATCACTGCTGCAATCTTGGAAAATACAGGTTGCTTTTGCACGTTGTCTTCCTTGGCCTTCACTACAGATTGCATCTCCCTAAAAATTCTGACCATTTGTTCAAAGACTTCCTTAACGTAACTATCTTCTTTCACAGCCATTGTGATGATCTTAGAATTCATACAGCTATTAAACAATTCAGTGAGTGTGTTCGTGAAGGAAGCAAAATCTTGAATGGAAAGAAAGAATGTTTTGGCAGCTTGAACCAGCCTCTCTTTATCCTTTTCTATCTTTGAAGACATTTCTCCAACAAAAATGTTTCAGCACTGCAAAACAAAGCAGGAATCCAAATTAAAACTAAAAGAATATTTGTTAGCCATAAAAAAAGACACAAAGTATTACCTAAATATGATGATGACTCCCATCAAGGGTTGGAAAGCTACACAAGCTTTAAAACAGAAATGATCCTCTGCTTTAATAAAAATAATACCAAAACTATTAAACCCGAGTAAAAGTGTTCTATTGGATTTAAACCACATATCAAATATTGTGTGCTGAATCCTGAACTGGATGTGTTGCTATATAGTGACACTATTCTCAGGTATTATTCTCAATAAGCATTCAATCTAGTGGAAAAGATTGAATAAAGTATTACAAATTATACAGAGAGGCTATGGTTCTAGTTAAGATAGAGAAAGTGCCTTCCATAACAACCTTTCCTACTGATTACAACTAAAAATCTCAAACTATATAAAGTAACAATGAGATAACTCTGAAAGACGGATAATAGCAGACCACAGAGGTAGAGAACGCAGCATTTCAAAGAAGAGTGAGGCCATTTAATGCAAAAATCCCAAAATGTCTGTCCTGTTTAAAAATGTTTCAGTACAAAAAAAAAAAAAAAAAAAAAAAAAAAAGCCGAAACCGGTTTGGCTCAGTGGATAGAGCATCGGCCTGCGGACTGAAGGGTCCCAGGTTCGATTCCGGTCAAGGGCATGTACCTGGGTTGCGGGCATATCCCCAGTGGGAGATGTGCAGGAGGCAGCTGATCGGTGTTTCTCTCTCATCGATGTTTCTAACTCTCTATCTCTCTCCCTTCCTCTCTGTAAAAAATCAATAAAATATATATATATATATATATATATATTTTTTTTTTTTTTTTTTTTTTTTTATTGCTTAAAGTATTACAAAGGGTATTACATATGTGTCCATTTTATCCCCCCGCCCTAGACAGTCCCCTAGCCTCCCCTATCCCCCAATGTCTTATGTCCACTGGTTATGCTTCTATGCATGCATAAAAGTCCTTTAGTTGATCTCTTACCCCCCTACCTCCAGCCCCGCAACCCTCCCCGGCCTTCCTGCTGCAGTTTGACAATCTGTTTGAGGCAGCTCTGCCTCTGTATCTATTATTGTTCAAAAGTTTATAATGGTCTCTATTATCCATGAATGAGTGAGATCATGTGGTATTTTTCCTTCATTGACTGGCTTATTTCACTTAGCATAATGCTCTCCAGTTCCATCCATGACGTTGCAAATGGTAAGAGTTCCTTCCTTTTTAGAGCAGCATAGTATTCCATCGTGTAGATGTACCACAGTTTTCTAATCCATTCATCTACTGATGGGCACTTAGGCTGTTTCCAGATCTTAGCTATGGTGAATTGTGCTGCTATGAACATAGGGGTGCATATATCCTTTCTGATTGGTGTTTCTGGTTTCTTGGGATATATTCCTAGAAGTGGGATCACAGGGTCAAATGGGAGTTCCATTTTCAGTTTTTTAAGGAAACTCCATACTGTCTTCCATAGTGGCTGCACCAGTCTGCATTCCCACCAGCAGTGCACAAGTGTTCCTTTTTCTCCACATCCTCTCCAGCACTTGTCGTTTGTTGATTTGTTGATGATAGCCAGTCTGACAGGTGTGAGATGGTACCTCATTGTTGTTTTGATTTGCATCTCTCGGATGATTAGTGACTTTGAGCATGTTTTCATATGTCTCTTGGCTTTCTGAATGTCCTCTTTTGAAAGGTGTCTATTTAGGTCCTTTGCCCATTTTTTGATTGGATTGTTTATCTTCCTTTTGTTAAGTTGTATGAGTTCCCTATAAATTTTGGAGATTAGGCCCTTATCGGATATGACATTGGCAAATATGTTTTCCCACACAGTGGGTTTTCTCGTTGTTTTGTTCATGGTTTCTTTTGCTGTGCAGAAGCTTTTTATTTTGATGTAGTCCCATTTGTTCATTTTCTCTTTAGTTTCAAGTGCCCTAGGAGCTGTATCAGTGAAGAAATTGCTTCGGCATATGTCTGAGATTTTGTTGCCTTTGGATTCTTCTAGAATTTTTATAGTTTCCTGTCGTACATTTAAGTCCTTTATCCATTTTGAGTTTATTTTTGTGTATGGTGTAAGTTGGTGGTCTAGTTTCATTTTCTTGCATATATCTGTCCAATTTTCCCAGCACCATTTATTGAAGAGACTATCTTGGCTCCATTGTATGTTCTTGCCTCCTTTGTCAAATATTAATTGAGCATATTGGTTCTGGCCGATTTCTGGGCTCTCTATTCTATTCCATTGATCTATATGCCTATTCTTGTGCCAGTACCAGGCAGTTTTGAGAACAGTGGCTTTGTAATACATCTTGATATCTGGTATTGAGATCCCACCTACTTTGGTCTTTTTCAGGATTGCTGCAGCTATTCGAGGTCTTTTTTTATTCCAGATGAATTTTTGGAGAGTTCGTTCTAGATCTCTGAAGTATGCCGTTGGTATTTTAATGGGAAGTGCGTTGAATTTATAGATTGCTTTGGGTAGTATGGACATTTTAATGATGTTGATTCTACCAATCCATGAACACGGTATGTTCTTCCATCTGTTTATGTCTTCCTCTATATCTTTTTTCAACGTCCTGTAGTTTTCTGAGTAGAGGTCTTTTACCTCTTTAGTTAAGTTTATTCCTAGGTAGCTTAATTTTTTTGGTGCGATGGTAAACGGGATTGTTTTTATAATCTCTCTTTCTGAAAGTTCACTATTGGTGTATAGAAATGCCTCGGATTTCTTGGGGTTAATTTTGTATCCTGCTACATTGCCAAATTCATGTATTAAGTCCAGTAGCTTTTTGATGGAGTCTCTAGGGTTTTGTATGTATAATATCATGTCGTCTGCAAATAAGGACAGTTTTACTTCCTCTTTTCCAATTTGGATGCCTTTTATTTCTTCTTCTTGCCGAATTGCAATGGCTAACACTTCCAGTACTATGTTGAACAGGAGTGGTGAGATTTCTAACTCTCTATCTCTCTCCCTTCCTCTCTGTAAAAAATCAATAAAATATATTTTTTAAAAAAAATAAATAAAAAATAAAAATAAAAATGTTGAGGATTATCTG